AGCTAACCCGCACGTGATGGACCTTAGCTAACCCGCACGTAATGGACCTTAGCTAACCCGCGCGTGATGGACCTTAGCTAACCCGCGCGTGATGGACCTTAGCTAACCCGCACGTGATGGACCTTACCTAACCCGCACGTAATGGACCTTGGCTAATCCGCGCGTGATGGACTTTAGATTCTGGGCCAGGCACTCAGTGGTGCCATCCCTGAGAATAGTAGCCCTTAAGTCCTTAACTCACACATGTAGATGTCATCTCACGTTCTCCTGGCAAGGAATGGATTTCTCACGCATTTCAGAAATATAAGCAGGAATAAATATTATCTGCAAAGAATGTTCACAGCATTCACTGATTTAATAGGTGTAATGTTTATTTTGAGCGTTGAAGATCTCAAAATTTGATTGATAATTAATTGTCTACAATAACCGAACATGCACCCGTTTGAGCGATTTTACGTGTAGAATTTGAGACGTTTCCTGAAACCTTGCTAGCATGTACGTGCCGTGCTTCATTCGACAATATTCGGACGCTTTTAAACAATTTGATAATTATATATAATTATAACGCTACATATTTGTGCTGTGGCGTCGAGATAAAACTAGTTCCTGGGTAACTAGTTTTATATAGTTGTATAAGTTATACAAAACGTGAACAATAACCTCTATTTCTGAACAGAGTATTGTCTTGATCGTCATATTGTCTTGATCATTGAGTCTAGCTGTGATTGTACAGACTCAAGACAACGCAGGTAAGTCAGTTAAATTAGTAAATTAATTAAGCTCCATCCTATCCGATTTCAGATATATATCCTAATAGTCGAGTTGCCGAGTAGGGAAAGTTGACTGAACGTTGCAATCGGGTATATACAACGTTTTTTGTGGTATCCTGATCTTTAGACTATCCTGAACCGGAATCCACCGGGTGCCACTTTGGCACCCTTGGTCAATTTTTTTTATCACGAAATATGAAGATCGTATACTTTCCCATCTGAGTGCGTATAAATGATAGGGGTACGCATGCTAAACTTAGAATAACTTAATATTCGGTCAATCCTCAGATATCTGCACAATTTCCCAGGCACCACTCGCCTGTAGTTCGCGCGCACGCTCCCGCAGGGGGTCGAATTGTCGTGGGCTTCTAGGGTGAAACGAGCAGCATCTACGGTTTAATTAGAAATTTCCCCGGCACCATCGCCTGTAGCTCGTGCGCGCGCTACCGCGTGGGGTCGAATTATCGTGGCTTAATTCTAGAAGGAACTGACGGGCAGCGTCTACGGTTTAATTACAAATTTCCCCGGCACCATCGCCTGTACATGTAGCATGTATTTGTGATATCGCCTGTACATGTAGCCTGTATTTGTGATATCGCCTGTACATGTAGCCTGTATTTGTGATAAAAAAATTGCCCAAGGTTGCCAAAGTGGCACCCAGTGCATTCTGGTTCAGGATAGTCTAAAGATCAGGAAACCACAAAAAAACGTTGTATATATCCGATTGCAACGTTCAGTCATTTGGCAACCGGACTATAAAGTTGGAGCAAGCTGGTATTAGGGTCTGAACCAAACAAGCCAAACACTCCATTTTTCTAATTTTCCAACTAATTTCATGTGTAACAAAAACATAAGTGGATAGCATAGACGAATATGTCGTAATAGCTATGAAACAAGGTTTGTTGTTAATTACTATTTGAACAGACTTTTATTAATTCATCATGTGTACCTGTTATAACATAATAACAGTTCACAATAATGATAATTTATACAACAATTCATAGCATAAATAGGTAACCAAGAAACTATATATTTTAAACATGGTAATTTTTACTATAGACACACATTTTTAAATATACATGACAGGAATACAAGTTGCTAATACTTGTATGTATATGAACTTTTAACTAAACCCAGCTTTAGTGTACAATATTCATGCCAGCTTCTCATTATCTTGAATGAAAAATACTAACTAATTCATGATATGTCAACTGCACAGCAGTAAACGCAACGCGTTTTAGTCAGTCACTTTAGGCTGACAGAACTCAGGTTAGCTACACTTATTCATAGCAGTGGTAACAGAGCTATCATATGTAAACAGGTATATACATATGCTGTGATTTCTGGAATGTTGTAGGTGTACACAAGTGTACTGAAACTGCTTTACATAGGGTCATAGAAAATTTAACGAAGAGAAATACCAAGAAAATGGCACCAAGAACGTAAACGGAAATAGCTTATTTAATATTATTTGTATTGTTAAATCATTTGTATACCACATTTCACAAATAAACAGCAGCCAAGCTACCAACATCATTCACATAGCCTCGACCAGTATACGGGAATGACAAAATATCTGCTGCATCTGCCTGATGTCAGAGTTCATGGAAGTTTCATCCTCGAGTTCTTTCTCCTAGCTCGGAGCATCTGCCAGCACAACTGAATAGTCGTGACACCATTTCCCATAGCATATCCCACCAACGCACCAATAACACAGCTTATGGGCCATACCTGTATCAAGATATGCAAAATAGTCAGTGATCGAATTTCAAAAACAATCACGTACCAATTCTAAACCTTATAGCCAAAATAATATATTATTGCCCTTTCCTCCCCACCTTTCCATGGCCTTTTCACTCAGTGTTACCCCTAACAGATGTTCGTATGTATTTTTCATCCACGGATGATAAAAACTGCTCGTGGGTCTTACCTGCCAGGGTCTGTCCCAGTCAAGAGGAATCGGAAATGCACCGAGCCACGCTCCGATTAAGGTGCACACAGACACTCTTCCTGAACTCTTCTCCAATACTGATTGATCGAGACTAAAAAGTAAATATCCGTAATGAAGCAAATGAGCTTTAGGCTGCTTACTTGATAGCTGACTATTTTTCAATATCCACAATGTCATACTTTGTGTGACAGTGAGTAGAAGACAGAACATTTTGTAGACATAGGTTAGCGTGATTGCCTGTCACATTTAAAAGATATATATATATATATATATATATTAACAGGGCCTAGAGGTAGTAAATAATATAAAATGTTGGATAATGAGGAAATGAGGGAAAGGTGAAAAAAATTCAGATTAGCAGTCACCAACTGTAACTCTTCCCACATCAAATTCAGATGCCGTTTTTTTACATCGACTCACCTTTGTCATGTCTCTTTAAAACAGCATTCACTGACGAAAAGCAAGAATATTTGTCCGTATACAGACACTGCTATTTACTGATCAGGACAGGACAAAAAGATCACAACAGTGATATATCTCCTCTGCGAGAGTGTACGATATGCTATCAATTTTATAGTTAAGATAAGACAAACACACATGAATCCTAGCATATTTTCATACCTGCTTTTTGTCAAAACGCTGAGCCATCTATTCCAGTTAGTTGTAAATATACAGCAGCCAGGAAGTATTGCACATGAGGCTAGGAGCAGACTGAACAATATGGTCTCCTCTTGTTTACTATAAAATATGTAAAAGAAAAAATATACTGGTGTGACAATAAATCTAAAAAATTTAACTAAATCGTTAGCAGAGAGAACAATAACCAAAAAATCTGGAAGTGGATCTGTAATGAATATAAATGAGTTAAGTGTAATTTTTGAATTTTTGAAGTGAAGTTTTGTTGTAACAATTTTTTTCACAAACAAATAAATAGAAATGTTAAACACTATATATACTTCAATAAAGGTGCTCCAAACAAGACTGTGACAGTGTAAATGAGGACAGTTCCAACAGCATACACCATCAAAAGCTTGTACAGTGATGACACCTGAAACTGTATAGCAACACATCCTTAATTTGGATACTGTAAGTTTATTGGCACTTTTACTATTTTATTTAGCATGGAAAATATTGGATTTATTGCAGATTCAAATGTTGAAAAAGCTTGCTTATGACATGAGAAGATAGAGACAGCAAGAGTTAATCATGTAATTAATGTAGTGGGTTTGCTGAACATGAGATATTGTGGTGATTGCATGTTGTGTGCTTGACCACTTCTTGTAATGTGCAAGAATGAGAGAACTGTAAGACCCAACTTGTTATTCACAGGCATTAAGCTTGAGCTTATCCACATTGTACTTGTAACATGGCTATTCACATAGAGCTAATACTGAGCTTGTAAGTAAGCTTAAACCAGTGGCATCTACACAGACGAAAATAATTAAATTAAGCAAATTTGCAACGAGGTCTTGCAGCACTACTCCATTGTTTCATGAGTTCAATCATGGAATAATCAATTAACTAAATCCACATACAAATTTACTTCAAACTCACTACCTATAATTTTTTAAATTTTATTTTAAACGAACTACCAGCATATAGACCTACATAGTTATCCTATGTCTTACTCCCTAAATTATCAATCACTGCAGCCTCCAAGACTTTCTACCAAATCGTGATCACGATTATTGAAATTTTACATTATATTGTCTACACTTATGCACGTTTTCACGTGTTTGTTCATTTGGACAACCGTCAAGCATGTGCTTAAAGTCTCTCAACTCATGTAAGTGCCTATAGTTCAATATTGTGCAATGTACTCAAGATAGTTTTGCTATATAAATTACCTCCTACATTATCTGCTTAAATATACAGTAAGTTGTATTTCCATGTATCTATTTTTGGCCTTCTGCCACCCTCTCTTATACCTATCTGTCATTTATCTGGAATTTCACACAAAAATCGTCAAAATCAGGATAGTGGTTGTTGAGTTATCAACTTTATACGGCAGCGCATCTCAGCGAGTGCACGTAGAGCGAGTGCGTGCGATCTGATCATAAATGTAATGTGTATACATTGTATCAAGCGAACCAGACAATGTGCCTAGACAATACGTTTGCAGTGTATTTGTCTGTGCATATCTGTGAATCTGTTTTCATGTTTTTATATAATAATTACATTATATATATTAATAATTTTCAAATGCTATTAGGCGTGTTCACACACAAGAAAAACCGCGATAATTGTGTCGCGATTGTCTCGCATGAAAATACCGAGATAATTGCGTCGTTGTTCACACAGGCGGAAATATCTCGCTAATCGCCGAGCGAGATAATTCTATTAATCGAACTGCGCATGCTCACTGCCGGAATGATGCTCACTGCGCATGCTCACTGCTCGCTCGCTTGGAATGATGGGATAGAAAATACCGGGATTATTTGCGCGAGCGTTCACACACGCAAATAATCGCGCTAATTCCAAATAATCGCAGTCAAAAGTGCGATTTGGAGCGCGATGCTGATCGCGATTATTAGTGAGATTATTGCGTTCACACTTGCAATAATCTCGGTATTTCGATCGCGATGCAAAACCCGGGATTTGCATCCCGCTAATTCGCGCCAGTGTGAACGCGCCTATTATTGCATATTTAAAGATTTTGGATACCAACATTGTTTAAATTACTATCCAAAAAATGGGATACCAGATCTTTGGGTGGGATACCAGATTTCAATACTTGGTATCCCGAACGGATACCATTGTAAAAATCTAATTTCGACCCCTGTTTCCCCCACTGCCCTTTGACCTGTGACCTCCAATTTCACACTGGTGATGGGTTTCCTGCCCATCACACTATACACCAAATATTAAGAGCATAGGTCGAGCCGTTAAGATTTATGCCACAATTCCGTATTTCCTCCTATACCTTAAAGGCATAATAGGCCCATTGATTATGCAAAGTTGACGAATGCTACAGTAACTGGCACTTTCTGTAGTTAATAAGTACATTACCTTATAGCCAAACGCATATTAGTTTGTCCAATATCACTGCTAATTACTAAGAAATGTCTAATTGAAATCCGTAAATCTGGTAATCTGGCGCCAACGCTACATTGGTTGCCAAGCAAAATAGCCTCGAATTCGGTTAGATGACGTCACATGTTGCTACGGGTGTTTAGCAGAGAATTGTTTGTCCCGGGATGCTTATAACGACTAATGAGCTAGTAGAATGTATCTCTGGGTGTATTCTCGGTATTGAGGCACAAGTAAATAACCGTGGGTGCTAATGAACGGGTACCCACAATGCCACATGTCTTCAATTTCGGACACAGGTGTATTCGTTTGACCAATATACGTAAATACGCGTAGTGCCGTCTGCTTTCCATGTGTAGTCTGTGGCCGTGGTTAGTCCGCGATCCCCCGATAGTGTTGGCCCCCAACACAGCCTACTTCATTATCATGAGCGTCCATGATTCGTACATGGATTCCATGTTCATTACAATCAGAGCTACTGTTACGTATACAGTTACGGTACTGTACTATCGCTAGCATTGCGTACAACCGAGCATGCGTGCGAAAATGTCCGGTGCACTATAAATCTGTATCACACCCGTTTCGCCGTATGCCGTTTCGAAACTGTAAACAAGTCAGTCAACTGATTTCTTGGACTGCGGATTTCAATTAGACATTTCATAGTAACCAGGAGTGATATTGGACAAACTAATACGCATTTGGCTATAAGGTAATGTACTTATTAACTACACAAGGTGCCAGTTACTCTAGCATTCGTTAAAATTGCATAATCAATGGGCCAATTATGCCTTTTAGTTAAGGGGGAAATATTCCCCCTCCGTTTACACATCTTGACCTTTGACCCTTAACCCCCAAATTTGTCATCCTGAGTCCTTTCCACGATCACCCCCCCAACGTTCCGAATATCGTGACCGTACGTCGAGCGGTTAAGATTTGTGCCCAACTGTTGACGCACGGCCGGACGGCCGGACGGACAATCATGCGATTCTACAAGCTGCATCTGACTACGTCAGATGAGCTAATAATAATATATATTATATTCGGAGTGGCTGGAGGTACGGCAGCTATCGTTTGTTGAAGTTTGTTTTTGGCAATTGTTTGAGGGCTGAGGCAATTATTTGCAATCTTCGGATGTAAAGTTTACAATAATGTTCATTTTCATACCTTACCTAATCCGAGTCGTGTTTCTAGCTCATCAAAACTCTCAAATCGTGAATTTATTTCCCAATGCGTTATTTTGAAATCTGCCGCCATCAGCCGACATCTTTGTCTCGTTATAAGTATAAAAGTGAATAGCCTGCCGTACCCCCAGCCTCGTAAATTAGAGATACGGCTGCCGTACCTCCAGCCACTGCCTATTAAAAACGTTTTATTATTTAAAAAAAAATCTGAAGTTACATGCCTTTCCTTGTAAGTTAGACTTTGTAAAGCCCGGCGCACACTGAGTTATTTTACTCAAGTAAAATGACGCATGAGTCATTTTACTCACGTTTGCGACGGATTTTCGTTGAGTAATTTGACGCATGCGTCATTTTACTCACGTGTGCGGCGGATTTTCGTTGAGTACCGTACCCTACCTTACCTATACTATAGCTGAAGGGGTCGTTGTCGTATCAGGTACTACAGCTATGTACCCGAGGTACGTATATGTATACACAAGTGTACCAGTCCTGTATCTTCTCAGCATATATGTACCCTGTGTTTACATAAACGTACCTGCCCCGCGAGCAGCATATGAAACCACGCGATAAAGTACGAGAATGTCGTAAACCTTCAAAACAAGAGAACAAACACCATTAGTAAATGTTTTTTTTTAGTTTATAACTGTTAGATAAGTAAGTTTTCTGATGTATTTTCCATGAAAAACACATATTTTACTCATTAATAGAACATATAATATCACTATAATTGCAATTCTTTATGCAAATGTGTTATTTTCATCTTAATCTTAAGTTATGAGAGGGTCTGGGCTTATAGCTGCCGAGTTTGGTTTAGTTAGGAAATGATAATACGATTTGCGTATCCGTATCGTCCCGCGTATACGGCAGTATTAACAGGTATCAGGATATGCAGTGTAGGGGCCTATACGCAATACGTTTTTGTTCTACTTTCTGTTTATGTTCGTGGACCGATTAGTTTACAGCTGACCTCAGGGTTTTTGGTAGATAATTCGAGATTTTGGCTACAAGTCATGGAGGCTGACATCTTGCCAAATTCCAGCCAATCAGAAGGCGCGCTAAATTCTTCCTATGTCATACCGTTTTCCGGCTTTTACGACAATACCACGTGACTGAACGAGACTTCCCGCCTGGGTACATTTATGGAGCGCAGCGGTACGGTTATGTAGAAACAACATTGGTCAGGTACACTTGTGTATACATATATGTACTTCGGGTACATATCTGTAGTACCTGATACGACAACGACCCCCATCTGCTATACTAATAGTAATACTAATAGTAATACTATAGTACAAATAGTAATTTGACTCGTGCGTCATTTTACTTGAGTAAAATAACTCACGTGTGCGCCGGGCATAAGACTTTCGGGTAGCGACGAGAAATAGCTATGTCAAATTAAACGTCTGACTTTTACTTTTAGCAACGACGTGCTTACCTCACGTTTATTATCTTTGTCGACTTTAGGCCTAGTGTTACTGATATCATTAGCTCTTCCAAAGAACTGCCAGAAGTGTATTGACACTAGTGTCGACAGTAACTGCCACGTGCTTATAAATAATACTAGTACTTTAAGGAGCCATAATGTTCTTGTACACAAGCTCTCGATAAACCCATTATATAATAGCAATACAGTTGCAGATGTAGAAATTCCAGCAAAAAATACGGTGGCTGTATTTTCAGTGGCCGCAGACATTTTGATTATTAACATCAGCGCCGTCTAACGTTACTTTTTGGCAACCACGATAATAAAAGTGAACAGCTTAATGTTATTGCTGAGCAAATTTTGTACACAACGTGTTTGTTACTTCATAATCTCATAAACGATACTATAACTCAATATAACTTTATAACTCATACTATAACGATAGGTTATTCCCTTAGCCTTAGGCCTTCAACAACACGTCGTGGTTTTTGTATAATTTTAGTGAAACAAAGTGGCGGACATAACCTGTTGTTTAAATTCTGTGGTTACGTTTGCCTTGTCTTATGTGTAAGTCATAAATGTATTCGCAACCGGAATATGTCTCGGCATCGGCAATAACAACAACGGGTATTCCTGCATTTCTGACGAAATTGTGGAGTTTAGTTTCTGACCCAGGAACAGATAATCTAATACGATGGGACAAGGTATTTAGACGTCGTATATGTTAAATACAGTGTTAACACTGTTATATCACTCGGTTCTTTTCAAAGTCTTGCCACGGGCGTCATTACTGACATTGGCTAACTAGCGCTGAGAGGGTCTATGTCCCCCGGGGTACTGCCGGAACGTACCCTGGGTACGGTCCGGTATACCGGAACGTACCCTGGTACTACTACTATATTATATGCCGAACCGTACCTCGCCTACTCCACTAACGAGTCTAGGGAGTCGCCTACGCCTACTCCCTAACCCTAACCTGAACCCGTCCCCTAACCCTAATCCTAACCCTAACCATATCAAATAGTGACCAGGTTACGTTCCGGTATACCGGACCGTACCCAGGTTACGTTCCGGCAGTACCCTGGGGGACATAGACCCTATGAGCCTAACTAGCCACTTGCTTAGCCACTAGCTAATTAGTAATTAGTTAACTCTAGTCCTTCGCTCCGCCACAGGACATGCGACCAAACAGAGGAATGGCTCCGACCTGTGATTGGAAGATAAAAAATTTGTGTCGTTTAGATGTCTCACTGTGACATGATAGTTTATTTTCAAAAATGTTTAATGTTTACACTCTTTAGACTTTATAGAGGATTCTCCGAATATTTGCTAACTTGCGTGAAGAGTATCTTGTTCAAGTAGTGTTCGTGTTGTATTCAGAGTAGCTCTAGTACTATAGCCCGCGTTCGATTAACTGCCGCAGGGCTATAGCACATTGTCAGCTGGGAATACCAACTGCAACCTGTTACCACCTGTCCCCATGAAAAATGGATTGCAAAACGCAAAGTTATCAGGCTTTTTAACACTTATTTATCTACATGGACATCTCACCTATCTTTTTGAACACTCAACAACTTTACACCATGTATTTGTCCTTTTATTCCACAAAGTAAGCACTACTGGCATTTCATTTTGAAACGAAGTGGCGTGCGCACTCGTGATGTTACCGGATATGTACGCAAAACACATGGCAGCTATGGGGCATGTATATACAATACCGGTGACGTCACGCGTGCGCACGCCACTTCATTTCAAAATGAAATGCCAGTAGTGCTTACTTTGTGGAATAAAAAGTACAAATACATGGTGTAAAGTTGTTGAGAGTGTTCAAAAAGATAGGTGAGATGTCCATGTAGATATATAAGTGTTAAAAAGCCCGATAACTTTGCGTTTTGCGATCCATTTTTCATGGGGACAGGTGGTAACAGGTTGCAGTTGGTATTTCCAGCTGACAATGTGCTATAGCCCTGCGGCAGTTAATCGAACGCGGGCTATAGTACTAGAGCTATATTCAGAGCAATTCCTCCATTTACGGTTTAGCCGCTGACTGGCAATATCACTAACAATGTGGATATTCGTCCGAGCATCGGACACCTGTTTGTATGCGCTATTCGTCTGAGCAGTTGTTGCGCTAGCTCTAGTACTATAGCCCGCGTTCATTAACTGCCGCAGGGCTATAGAACATTTTCAGCTAGATTTCGTAACTGCAACCTGTTACCACCTGTCCCCACGAAAAATGGATCGCAAAACGCAAAATGATCGGGCTTTTTAACACTTATTTATCTACATGGACATCTCACCTATCTTTTTGAACACTTTCCAGAACTTTACACTGTTAATCTGTAAGCACCGTCATCTATTGAATTGTTATCGATTTTTTTTGTCTAAGAACACTCCCCGGGTATAGGAAATGGCCCTCTGAAAATTGCATCCAGATTGCTTGGGCGGTTTGGCCGGGCATAGGGGACATACATACATACATACATACATGTACACATACGAACTGAAATATAGATTAGATATGTGCATATATATATACACCATGTTGATACTACACCATTGACGTTCAAACTTCAACCATCAATTCAATTTTAATTTTTGCCTTACCTGTTCCAAGTGTTCTGCTTTGTTATTTCAGAGTGGATTCAGCTTCCACGTACTCAACCAGGCCAGGTTTGCAAAGGAGATTTTACCCCAGTACTACAAGCACAACAACATGGCCAGCTTTATACGCCAGCTCAACATGTGTGAGTGTAGCATTCAGATGCATGGCTGTCGTAATTACCTGAACAGCAAAAGTTTACGTGACAATGTCACATATAGATATAGAAACCTTTTCTGAAGTGAGCAACATCCTCCTAAGTATGTGACTCGCGTGACACTGTTCTGTAGCTCGCGTGACATAGTAGCTCATAACGTTAACAAATGTTAGGGTAATCGGAATTTCGATGGCTTAAATGTTATGATCCAACACGGTTGTTACTACCATATGATTAATTGTGAAAAAGGGTAAATATTGTATGTTGTCAACCCATGCATAGCGTATGCACCATTATTCCCATACAAAGTTCAGACTTACAATATTTCCCCTGTTTTAACAATTAATTATACATGGCTGTATCAGTATTTTGTGGCATATTATATTTGCCATTATGTTTTAAAAATGTTCACGAAATTTTGTTAGAAACTCGTTTACATTTACCTACATAATATTCTTGAAATAAATAGTATACACGTGTACTGGTGTATATGAATTAATGTGTGCACATAATTTTTCTTTTCTCAGATGGTTTCCGTAAGGTTGTTCACGTTGAGCAGGGAGCATTGAAATCTGAACGAGATGACTTGGAATTTCAACATCAATATTTTGTGCAAGGGGAAGACTCTCTGGCTCTTCTACAATTTATTAAGCGCAAAGTAAGTGCGATATTAATTTGAAAGTCACCTGATTGTCATGTCAGTACACATGTATGCAATTGCATCTAGGATGTTTAGTAGAAAATAATGCTTTCAGGCAGGGCTCGAATTAACCGACGGCACCAACGGCAATTGCCGTCGGTGCCCCTATCAATCGCCGTACTGCCCCTGAAAATCCAACCCGACCGATGGCAGTCACCTGCCTTGCCCTTTTTGTAATTGCTGTCGGTGCCCTTTAATCTACTGCCCTAGTTTCGTTTTTAGTAGAATCAACATAACACGTGCGCGTGCGTGCTGTAGTTGCAATGATGAGCTAAAAACCGATAGTCGCAGGAGGGAATAATAACGGCATCGGATAATTATTTGCTCCTGATAGCGGGCATGTAAAATTTCTTGTTACTGTACTTCCATTAGCAAAGGTGGGTACAGGGTTCAGTGTTACGGTGTAAGCTTACATGGGGGCATATTGTTTTGTACATTAAAAGCAAGACGATGTTGATGTACTAATTTGTTATGAGTTTTCCTTTATTTTACAAAATTGCCTTGGTGCCCTTCTCAAATTTTGAGAGTTGCCTTGGTGCCTTTCTATTTTAGAGAACATTCAAAGTGATTTCTCACATGCCCTAAAAAAATTGCCTTGCCCTTCTCGTCGCTTAATTCGAGCCCTGCTTTCAGGTAAAAACATACTAGAGTTGTGGTATTTGTGCATGCATGCATGTGTTTGCCAAATATCTAAACTGGTATGGTTCTTACTTGGCATGAGTATTTGCTGGGTTCATGTAATATTTTATGCTAATGAAATTCTTTTTTGTAAGGTCTAAATGTCTTGTCCTGTCCTGTCTGACATGGGAAAAGAAATTGACTTACTAACTAACTCAGGGTTTGACAAAACCACTTGTATTGCCCAAGTGCCAATATAACTTTTCCCACACATGGTATCTTGTAGTACACAGTCTGTAATGGTGTGTATATCTGTTCTGTCCTTTGAGTGTACTAAATGCCTTTTTAAGGTCTCAAGTAGTCTAACTGTTGATGTCACGCTTGCATTTTTGAGGTGACGTTGAACTACGTTCGTGACTCCTCTGACATAGTGTAGGAAAATCATCACCGGTTTCTCCATGGAGGTTTTCTTATAGGATGTTGATCAGACCCGTGGAGTGTTCATCTCTTTGGACACTTTGTCAAGTGCCTAATTGGGGTAGCCGCATTTACCTAGCATGTCCTTGAGGTGGCACGCTTCAGCTTCCCGGTCCTCACTCTCCATTGTGATTTTACCACTACGATCAAGTAGCATCTGTACCACTGACAGTTTGTGGTTGACTATGTGGTGTGAGTTGAAGTTTAAATACTGGTCCGTGTGGGACTTTTTCCGATACACAGTCACTGTTAATGAACTATCTTCTCGTTTATGAATGAGTGTATCGAGGAAAGGAATTCTTTGATCAAATTCTTCCTCGTCGTGAATTTGATGTTGCGTCCATCGTTGGACTGTACCAGATTTGATGATTTCCAAGGTGTCATCTACATAGCGTACCCACAATTTTCATGACTATTGGTAGGACCGCCAAGTGTAATTTCCTCTGATGTACAGAGATTTTACCCTGTCCAGTCACTTTTTGACCTTAAAGAGAAGTCCTGAATAAACATTGATTTGTGGATCAATACCGAGTTTCTTACTTTGTTGTGCTTCCCTCTTCTTACTCTCCCACAACTCTCAGGTTAGCACTGCAGCACATTGGCCCTAGCTAACTATCATTACATTTTGCCAGATCGAATATAGTATGCATCAATTGGTTTAAACCTTTTGCTGCACATTGTGGTGGCCATCGGTGTTCAGACTTGTGTTTTTTCTAGGTGGCATCACTGCTCAGCCGGAAACATTGATTTTTAAGAGGCAATATTTGTGTTTATCTCATAGCATGTGACATTCCCTGCGCCTATTACAATGTGGCATATTTCGCAGCCATATATTATATTATAATTTATATATAACAAATATATCGCTCACAATAATGAATTGTTATTGTTGTTAACCACACGCACGCACGCTCGCACGCACACGCACACACATATATATACGAGCTGCCTGTCAGCTATAGGTGAGGCGCTACGCGCCTCGCGATTCGGTGAGAAAATGCGAGCCGGGACAGGGACACTGAAGTTGGAAACCATGAAAACTGCATAGAATGTGCCAATTTGGCTGTATTTGTGTGCATATTTTGTGCATATCTGTCTTACATCTGTATCAATAGTAAGAAAATTAGAACCGAGCGCTTTGCGGTAAGGGCGATGGAATTGCATCAAAATTCAGCTTTCTTTGTAAAAGTATCCCGGAAACAAGCATATTTGCTTAAAAGATGCACAACAGTTGCATCAACAATATTAAAGAATTGCGGCGCGGCACAGTGCGTAGTACTGGATCAATTTGTTTTTGTAAGCCATGTGTGTACACAGGCGTACGGGTTACGGCGCATGCACCAGTCTCGACCAATCACGAGAAGTGCATCGAAGCAGTAGCAGCAGCAGTAAGACACACACCAAATATATAAATAAATAAATATGTATATATATATATATATATATATATATATATAATATATATGGAAACTTTTCTAATTTAATACTGAGTAGCCTAACTAATCACTAACGGATGTAGCTTTACTAAATTCTTGATAGCGCCTAGCAAAATAGTATGTACAGACTACACTTAATGACATATGTGTATTAGCTTTATGTATTGCTTGTTTTCAGGCGACTCCATCAAGTAAACTTAGTGGAGAAGGAACTAGAGTCAAAACAGCAGATGTTGCACCTCTACTAAACAGCGTTAAACTGATGCAAGGGAAGCAGGAGATGATGGATGTGAAGTTATTGTCGTTAAAAAAGCAAGTCATCTGTCATATTCAAATAACCTTTATATCCACATTATTCATACATAATTGTGACAGTGCATGCTATTTGTACCTAATTCACGTTGCGTAATGTGTTTTGCGGTGGCTCGGTTGTAGAATAATTAATTTCATTGTCGTGTGACAATGATTGGCAACAAATAGTGATAAGTAATAGTAAGTGATAGTCTGTAACCTTAGGGTAGGTTCATCAGTTTGTGTAATTGTAAACTAATTCAAACTTGCTAGTTTATTAATAATTCTTTAAAGGTATAGATTTTTGTCAGTGTTGCTTTTGGTTTTGCAGGGAGAATGACTCGTTGTGGCGAGAAGTAGCCATACTCCGACAGAAACACTCAAAGCAACAACAAGTTGTCAACAAGGTATTACCATGTATCATACACACAGTGGTAGTGAGACAACTGCCTTGCACATTTATCATTTATAACAATCTTTAATAACTAAATATTATAAAACACCAAAATAAAATCATTGTAAACATGGTAAAGTTATAATAACGTTATAAATATATATGTAACAGTTTAATGTTATACACTATGAACTAGAATAAACGGGCAAAACAAAGACTAATCACGGAAGTGGTGCAAAACGCACGTAGAGCTACGGAATATTCCGGAGCTAATACAGTCCATAGGAAAATACACGGACTCCTACGTACTAACTACGAACTGCATACTGACTGCCAATTAAATCTGTCTCATCTCACAGTCTCAGGGAGTACGTGATTATTACGTACATAGTACGTACATTTCCCAGCAAGCGTGATTCCCGCACACCAGCAGCAGCAGCTTTTGATGCAGCTGAATGTTATCAGGAGCTGGAGCCTGCATAGAACTCTACCTATTTAACATCGCTCGCTTGCTCGCTCGCTCGCAATGGTTTAATCTATCAAGGCAATTAAAAATATACCAGACATTTCATTTAAATACTTAATATATTTGTGTAGACAAACATATAAGATAACAGATATTGGTGTGGTTAGCAGTCAGTTATATGCATATATTTATATAATTGCATTCTTCTATTTCAAATTGCAAAACAACAATGGCTATATAATTGTGTAACGCTATGTTGGTGTTAACATTGTGTCAACACGCCAGCCACATGTACAAAGCTCGGAGCACTATGCCAGCTCATATCAGACAGTGACTCGTTGCCTCGCTCCACCAGCAGACCGTTCCAGATGCTGTGCGCCTGCGCCCAGGCGTGAGTACTGGGACAAGATTGGATGATTGAGGCAGCTAGCGATGTTAAATAGGTAGAGCTCCAGCACCTGATAACGTTCAGCTGCACCAAAAGCTCCTGCCGCTGGTCTGCGGGCATCACGCTTGCTGGGAAATGTACGTACTACTATGCACGTAATAAACACGGGCACGCTGAGATTGGACAGATTTAATTGGCAGTCAGTATGCAGTCCGTAGTTAGTACGTAGGAGTCCGTGTATTTTGCTATGGACTGTAATTAGATCTGGAATATTCTGTAGCTCTCCGTGCGTTTTTCACCATATCCGTTATTAATCCGTGTTTTGTACTTATATTCTAGTTCATAGTGATAGTGAAAGCAAATTAATCTGACACATCCTTTTATCAGTGCAAATAACTCGTAACGACGGAACATAGCTATTTGTTCTTCAGAATTGGCGGGTTGACTTGAAATAGAATTGCACAAACCTGTGTAAACTTTTATGTGATATTCTAGACAGTTATAACATATGAGGCATATTTGTGTATATAGTACAAAAGCATACTAGTGATTCGATTTCTTACCTTTGATGCCGGGGCAGTGTTTGTATTATGTGTAGTGTGGTATGCGTGTTGGTGAACAAAATATTCTCTTGATCTGCACAGCTGATCCAGTTCTTAGTTTCGCTGGTGCATTCGGGAGGAAGAGGTATCAATGTGAAAAGGAACGCCACACTTGCGATTGAGGAGGATAGCTGCCAAAAACCGAAATACGCACGGAAGCAATACACGGTACTTGTCAGAGGAGGGAGGGAGAGAGGCACACACACACAGAGCTAGGTGGGGTGAGGGAGAGAGAGAGAGAGACAGAGAAAGAGAGAGAGAGAGAGAGAGAGAGAGAGAGAGAGAGAGAGAGAGAGAGGAGGAGGTAGGGTAGG